CCACTTGTTTTAATGCAATTGTTAGGGGGAGGGGGGTATGTCTTTTTTGGGGTGGGGGTGTTGTGGGGGGGGGGGTTGGGGGGAGAGGGGGGGAGACCTCTTTTTTATTTGTTTTGTTGAAGGAATTGAGTTGGGGGGGTGTTGTTTTTTTCGCTTTTCTTTATTGGTTGTTTATTTATTTGCTGTTTTTTTAGGGTGGGCGTAGAAATGGAGGGGATGGATTTTATTTTATTTTTTGTACGTTTTTTTTGTCTGTCATCATCATCCACTGCAAGATATGCGACAGACAGACAGACAGACAGACAGACAGACAGACAGACAGACAGACAGACAGACAGACAGACAGGCAGGCAGACAGACAGACAGACAGACGTCTTTTGCTTGTGTTTGTTAGAGTGAAGAAAAGCACATCGAAACTTAACGATAACGGTCTATTAGTGCTGGGAAAAGTAAGACAGGCAGACAGAAACAAGAGAAGGATAGTAAAAAAAATATATAAAAAAGTACGATCTAACAGTGGCGCCCTCCAGCCACCCGCACGTCTTTAGTGTGCGGCTAGGAAGAGCCTCATCACTACACCAAAAGCGTCTTTGAGATTCTTGGACTAGCGAAGGTCAAACCAACTTGTTCAGGAACCAAACTTCGGTTTGTGGGACTGACAGTCCAGAATAGAACCAATGATGACGGTTACCCCGGAGAAAAAAAAGAGGAGGAGGCTCCTGAGGACTTACGGTTAACTCATTCCCCTCACCAAGGACGCTGTCTCATTCGTATAACAATGCATATTTGAGAAGATAACCTTCACATTCTGTAAGTAACGCGACTAACAGATCGAACAAATAGGACTTGTATGAACGATAAAACAAAGCTCGAATACACAATCAAATTAAACAGTTAAACGCACTCAGTGGAACCCCTCAACGGAATACATGCACTCTTGACAAGGAAAACAATACCTTTTAAGGGTGAAAACTTCGAATACTTGCATTTATCTCAACTTTAAAGCGGTAAAAGCTAAAGCTGTTTGCCAAGCAACAATGTGAGGGTACCTCGATATACCTATAGCAACGGGTCTATTATAATTATGCTAAAAACCTTTCCTCATACCTTTCAAAGAGTGAGTTCCCTTCCTTTGCCGACAGCGTTGCGTGTGAAGACAGCTTAGATAAATCAAGGGGCGTAAGCCAAGACGAACGGGAAGTCCCACAGCAGCCATTTGTCCCCCACGAGTTTGTCTGCCCCTGTCTGCCTGTCTTAACTGCTGGTCGTCTTGTAAAGAGCGCCTGCTCTTTATTCCTTCTTATGACTCTCTGGGGTATCTTTGACCACTGTTTTTCTCTCTCACTCGTCTTGCTGCGTTTATGTGTAGCAAAGAAGCACAAAATGTAAGCGAAGTGTGTTCATTACAAGTGGGGCGTTATAGGGAAGGTAAAGTAAAGCTATATCCTCTTGCAAGATTCTAGTCTGGCTTGCGAACCATTATTAGGCTTACAAGTAGATTCTATCCCATTTTTTATTTATTTATCCGTTTGTTTGCTCATCGCTTTGGTAAAAAAAAGGTTGTTAAGTAACTCCAGATATGCTGCTCCTTCGACTTTTTTTCAGTGCAGACAGGGTACGTTTCCTTCCTACTCGTGTTCCCGTATTGTACACCGAAAAAACTTGCTGTAAATTTGAGTCATAACATTTTTATGTACTACGTATTATTGTTGTTTACGCAAGTTATGGTCACCGACATTTAGGGGTATTGATACCTATAAAAGGAAAGCGATTGTATGTAATTATAATGTAGATAAAATAGTTTAAACAGAAGCAGTTGGGTTACACTTTATGAACTCGTTCCGAACAAAGCAATTTATTTTTGTATTTGACTATTATAAACAATGTTTTATTTAGAAAGTTATTCTAAACGAGATACTCAACCATAAAAAAAGTAATTTACGACTCAGAAAAGTTGCCAAATCATTCACTTTTGACTCACTATAATGACTTTGATTGCAATTTAACACTCCTCCTCCTCCTC